GCAAAGTCTTTTTCTTATGTCGCTACATAAGAAAAAAACAAAACTAAGAAGGAACTGAATATACCAGCTGCCATCATGTGTCTGCCACTCACCTTTTCCCCAAAGAGAACTGCTGCCTCCTTGCCCTTAGCACAAACACCTTTACTTCTCTTTTGAAATAAAGAGTAATTCTGTTAACCCAAAGAGTGAAATGATAAAAACATTCTGGGGGCAGAAGAAGTAACAGTTCTGTTCACATAAGTGGCACAAAAAATTTTAAGAAGCATGTGTGCACTCCTAGACCAAGCACTTTCCCTCCCTTATTCTTTTTCCTGCCACCAACGTTACTGCGAAAATGCACTGCAGAATCTGAGTACAAATACATTTCTGAAAAGATGCCCTATTTTCTGATGGCAGCTGACATCCCTAATGACCCTGTAAGAAATGGGTCCATACCAAGCACTTTGATTTTAAAATATCACACACATTGAAGGAGAAATTTTTGGAACTAAATCTTGAAAATGGTTTCTATCTCTGGAACAGATCAGACCTTGAACCATCCATCATGCTTCTGAGATTTCACGATACCCACAGAGCTCTATTAGTTGTACTAGAGCAGATCAGCTGAGGTACTGACCTCCCCTGGCAGCTACTTCACTGTTTAGGACCTGACTCTACTAGTTTTCCCAAACAGTTCCTTTTCTGGGGATGGAATGGGAAACACATAGGTGATGGAAAACTTATAAACTTGTGGAACCGGCAGAGAAAGTACACTTTCATTTCCACATTAGAAGGGAGGGAAGGAAGGAGGGAAGGAGGAAAGGAAGGAAGAAAGGAAATACACTGAAGTTTAGTCACGGCAAATATTGTGCACAATTTCTGCTGTGCAAAGTACAGATTCCGAGTAACATACAAATTTTACAAGCTCAGTCACAAAAAGCCTTTGAGAGATCTTTAAGAGCAGTGTCCATGTGCTTTCAGGCTTTTTAATCTATATGTTCTACATTTTGTCAAACTGAGTTGTGACTTAGTAACAGAGTGCTTGTACCTTTTCTGCATGACTACAGTGTCACAATGGAGTTAGATGCAGTTTAAAAGGCAAAGTTAAAACTCAGCCATAATAAAATGTACCTGGTTGAGATATAGCTCAGAAAAATTGACTAAAGGTGTGCAAAAATATGTATGAGTTAAATTAGCTCTTTACTAATACCAGCTAATTAGTCCTCACAGGAGCATACTTATGGGCAAACCCCATGATTTCCATTCTTGTCCTTTGACTCTGCTGGTTTTACTTCCAAATTGTCCTACAGGTTTTTAACAGATATCTAGCAAATTTATTTCCTGAAACACCACACCCCCAATGAAAAGAAAAATCCTAAGCAACCTCCAGACAAGCAGTTCTGTTTCTAAAGGAGGTTCAGTACAGTTTTTTCCTAACTTGAGACAAAGCTTTTTGATATTTACAGAAAAATAAAACTACGTTGAATAAACAAAACAGTGAAACAATGTGGAAAGAGTGACCACAATAACTACAGGAACCGAAAAAGAAGGAACTAATTCCATGTAAAGTGAAGAGTCTCTTCCTCAAAGTTGGCCTAGTTTTTGTAAAATGGTTTAGACTGAGGTTTGGAAACTAAAAGGATAGCTACAGGTTTGTGATAACATAAGTAATTGCACAATACTTATCTTGTCATCACACCATTACAGTCATGTCCTGTGCTGAACAGATGAGATGCTTGGTCATTAGTCTTATTGCAGTCTGGGTCACTGCTGAGATCACCCAAAAACGCTACTTTCTGTCAGAAAAACACAGCCCTTTTAAGAATTTTTCAGATAATGCCAGATGATACAAATTCTACCACAGAGACAATTCTGACAAACACAGATTCTCATAGAGATGCATGGTAAGTAGGAAGGAGGAAAATGCCATTCAATTCAATGTATGTGCTCTTCTAAAATAAAGACTGTTCTGACATTAGTATCACTAGCACTGAAGAAACTACTTGATTCGCCTAGAAATAACAGTGAGTAATATTCTGTCCACAAGACAGAGATGATGACTTAAGTAAAATCTGAATGAAGTTAAGAGTAGGTGTGCTGAGCTTCTAACAGTTTTTGGAGGTTTTTCCCTGCTTCTTTATTTTTTAGAATGTGTAGTTTCATTATGGTAATAAACAGATTTTTTTATTTTAATTTCAGCAATCTGCTGAATTTATCTAGTGATGATGTTTAAGTTTCCAAAGAAGTTTACCAAAACCATTTGAACTCTAACGGAAACAGAGTGAAATGAGAATGATGAACAGTGATTCACTAAGCAGGAATTATTTATATACCTCAAATGTGTTTTTCATTAAAAATGCTATTTATTTATACCGTACATACTACAAAACAGTGGGTTGGGGTTTTTTTCTGTATATATAATTCAACTTTTGTTATTTTGTTTTTCAGACTTTCCATATTACTTATACCTAATAGCCTGGGAGGAGACATGAGAGTGCAGTACAGATAACACTACAAAGGTTCATATGTCTTGGAAGAATGCATCCTTACTGTTCTAATTTCCCTTTCTCACAAACACACTGAGTTTGCACAACATAAACCAAAGCAAAGCAGATCTCTCCACTCAATTTAACAAGGCAAAGTAGTTAAAATGTTGAAGAAAATAAAAAAAAAGATGAAAGAAAAGTGTCAGTGAAACAGCTTGGTGTTTTGCTGTAAAGTTTCTCTTTGTTAAACCAGAATGTAAATTTTCCTTATAATTTCTGTGGGATCCACACATGTTTTCAGGGCTGCATCACTGTACAGAATCAAAAATTATCAGAGGCTTGTAACCCATAGGAACATAGTGAGAATTCATTTAGAACAATTTTTTCTTTTATTTTCTACAACTGGAAATACTGATTTATTAGATATCGATCCCTACTTTTGGAAACAAAAATACTGAAATGAATAAGAAGTACTAAAAAAAAGGAAATTCATGTAAGAGTTTCCTCTAGAAAACATAACAGGAGTTAAGTACTCAAATGGACATAAAAAATAAGAATAATCAAAATGCACAGCAAAATAAAACAGTAACAAGCTGAAACAATGCAACATTTCTGACCCTTGGCTAAGAAGAATAATGTTCTGGGTCAGTAAATACAGAAAAGGAACACATTCTCACTGAATGAATATTTTATTGTATGCTGAAATATCCCTTGGGTTTTTGTTTGTTTATTTTTGATTTTGCTTTCGTTATTGTTATTGGTTTTGTAAAGAAAAGAGTCTACAACACACATCGTAATGGCTTTGGCTGTAGACTGAACTTATGCAAATACTGTCACTCATTCAGAATGTTGTGGTAACTCAGGCTGCCAGTGTGGTTTTCTACCTCAAGCAACACGTGTGCACACCAGAAACAAAAAAGATTCAGAGGGCACCCTCTCTTTTTCTCTGCCTTTCTCAGCTGCTTGCTCCTTCTCTGTCTCCTATTCATGCTTGCTGTCTTGCTCACAATCTTTCTTGGACTTTTGTTTTTTTCTGACAAATCATGCGAGTGAAACACGAAACATTTACACAACTAGACATCCTTTTTTTCTGGCCTCTAATTTTATCCAAAAGGAAAATAACCCAATAAACAGTCCAGCGTATGTTTTCAGAGCTACTAAGTGCTTCTGCCATTAATTTCTTTTGATTGCTTCTATAAAACATGCCTTAATCATACTACAGCACTTTCCATTGCAAAAAAGACAACTTTACAGAACAACATAGTTAACATTATTTCCCTGTTCCTTTTGGTTTTTTTTTTTTAAACACCACAAAAATCCAGGCTATAATAAGAAGCACACAAAATTATATTCATCTTTGTTCTGTGACAAGTAGTATCAGCATTTATATCCCCAAATACTATGCATGTTTGAAAAGAAAAAGTTTCTACTGGTTCACATGACACAATTCTGTTTGGTTTTTTTCTTTTATGCAACGCAGTATATAAGGAATAAGGATGCACTATTGTTTCTAGTAATAATTGGCACTTGAAAAAAGCACCAAGAATTCTGTATTTCACTTTACCCCTTTTCCCTCCCCAGTACTTTTTCGTGTAGTCCAAAAACTACAACTGTGGTAATGGCGAATAACTACATTTTCTTTTTTCAAAACGTGTGCAAAGTTGGCACTTTTGTATTAACACTAAACACTAATACTCTCTGTTTGGCATTCATGCCCTCATACTGACCAGATCACTTTTATCTAAGTGTATTTTTTTAAAGACACTTACTGAAAATATGGCAATAGTTTAAAAAAAAAAAGCATGGATATTATTACACATCCCCTTGTAGTGTACGAAAAAGTGCATGACTGGAATTATGTAATAGTACAAGACAAAAAAAACTGTATCAAATCAGGTACTGTAAAGCATGCCAGCACCTCTGTAGTACTTATATCTAGCAGGTAGTTAAAACGAGACTGTGGTTCTTTTAAAAATGTGCATTAAAGCTAACATAAATGAGTAGAACTAGCCAGCAAACTATTTTTCCTGCTTATCTAACAGCTGGATGTAACTGTAAAAATTAAGCAAAAAAAAATAGAGTTAAACCACCATCAATACAATTGTTTTACATCATAGGCCTGTCAAGGCTCAATATATATATACAAGTGTAACAGCCATGCTTAGTAGAACGTTATCCCCAATGCTTAGAAGACACAAATACAACTAAGTAGATTGTTTTTTCTTTCTCTTTTTGTTTGTTTGCAATTTTTTTGTGTGTTTTTGTTTGGGGGGGGTTAGTGTTTTTTGTTTTTGTTCTTGTTTTTGTTTTCAGGCAAAAGTCACAGGTAGGACAAACTGTCTCTCTGGAGATGACCAAAGAACATTCTAACAGAACTAGGGACAACTGCAAGTTTCCTGTGGGTTTGGTTTTTTTCTTTTTGTTTGCTTCTTTTTTTATGAAAAACCTCTTCTCCCAAATTAAAGGTCCCACCTTTTTTGTTTCTATCAAAAAAAAAAAAAGGAAAAAAAACCCCAACAACCAACAAAGGGGGAAAAGCACCTGGTGTTTCTTTTGTTAAAAAAGAAAAGAAAAAGATTATATATATATTTATGTATATATATATACACATATATATATATATATACACACATACATATAAATGGAGACTGTATATGGCAGTTCAGATATAGTGGGCCCTCTCTGAGAGCTGGCATTATGCTGTGTCCATCCTTGAACTAATCTACTGAAGTGAAGGGAATGTTTTTATGCAGATTGGGGTTCTGACTGTGCCGGTTTCGGCTACGAACAGAGGAGAACATCATGTTGCACCCAGGGACTTTACATTTGTGCATTTCTCGCAAGTGCACTGTTTTATAGTGCACTCTGAGGGTTCCCTTGTTGCTGTACATTTTGTGGCAAATGTTACACATTATCCCACCATTGCTCACCGAAACACTGTTGAACATGAGGGATCCTGGGACATCGGTGCCCATACCTACAGCTAAGGCAGGGGCATCTGCTTTGTGGGCAGATTCCCCGCTGTCACTTGCCCCATCGATGTCGTCCAGGAGAATACCCTCATCACTTCCTGCATCAGATTCTCTTGAGGAATGGATACTGCTGCTGGACTGGATGCTGGAGGTGGTGCTCAGGTCTAGGACCATATAGTCTTCTGCCATGCCCCTGCCATACCCATTCATATGGGAATCCTCAGTACCAGCAGGTGAGGAAGTGTCTTCCCTTATGTCAAGCCCCATCTGATGCTGAGCGCCATATATCTTCACCAAAAATTCATCGCGGAGGTCCTTACTAAGAGAAGGCTGTGAAGTGTCCAAACCCATGTCATCCAGTTCTTTGGTCAACAGTTTACGGTGCAGGTTTATGTTAGCACTGTGTCTGGGAAAGAAAGAGGGAAGGGAGAGAAGGAAAAATGTACAGTATTTTTGATTAAACATACACTCATTAAACATCAAATACAAATTCTGATTTAGCAATAATTTATCATGAAAATATCCCCTATTCATGTTTCTTGCTGATTTCAGCCTTGTTATAAGTGAACAAATTGCAACATAAAAACTAAACAAAACAAGCAATTTACCCTCCCCATATTGTTTTTCTTTTCAGCTGCGGCTCCTCAACATTAGTCTCCAGCAGCAGCTACAGCCCTTTTATTTGACATTTACAAAATAATAAATTGCACTAGTAGAAAATGCAAAATGCTCTTCTTGGTTCCTGAAGCCCTGCTGACCTTCCTAAAAGCCTTGCTTCAAGAGAAAAAAATATTAATATATAGAATAGTTGTGCATGTTTCTATCTCTGTCTAAATCTGAATCTGTATCTTTATATATTTATATATACATACATATAAATATATCTTTATATATATATTGACTCACATAACTCTGGAAGTGAAATACGGGAAAAGAATAAAATAAAAGATAACTGATTGATACATAGTCAGAGGCCCTGATTCTGGTAATTTAATTCTGCTATAAAGGGATTCAGAATTGGGCCAATCTAAGATGGAGAACACCTCAAGGGTTTAAGAGAACAAGTCTCTGAAATCTACATATCAGTTTCTGAAAATCTTAGCCTAAGTCAGTGGTTCCATCCTTCTGGGTAGGCACTAACACTCTTCCCTGTACTGCGTCTGATGCAGTGTTGACTGACACAAGCAATGCAATGTTCAGTAAAAAAACCAAACTACTAATGGCAGTGAGAGTTTTGCCCCAAATCAATCAAAAAATTAAGCATGAGTTTGGTTTAGGTGTTTGCTGAAGTCACTGCAGATGCTCAAGAGACACTGGAAAACTGTTACTGTTGGAAGTGGTCTTTGGACCAGATCCCAAAAGATGCAAATTAAAATATTCTCAAAGATTTTACAGGAGCTGGGCCTTTGTTCTCAAGAAATAAAGCTCTACATTTGGAAGCATTGTAAGATTTTGGGTTAGTAGCTCGTAAAATAGCCCATTATTTTAAATACTGCATTCTACTCTCCACTTTTGACATTGGCTTTATTCATTCATTGCAGTAGAACATCACTGATTTGCAGTAGTGAAAAACAGCATTTACTGAATTAACAATGCAACCAACAAAAAAGACAGACTTCAAAGACCTCTGACCACAGAACATGCTTGTTTTGTTGAAGTGCTTAAGAAATGTGTGTAAAGTTTTCAGTATCAGAAAACTTTAGGGTTCAGTTTTTGGAATGTGCAGCGTTGTTGAGGAAATGACAATTTTTCATGACAATTTTTTATTCTTTGGAGGGTGACTGGATTTTCAAATCAGCAAAAAAAGAATTAGCGAAGTTCTACTGCATAACATTCTGTGCAAGCTAAGGACCCAAACCCGCAATTTACAACATGCAGACTCACCAGTTTGTCTGCCCATTATAAATTGCAGATGAGAGACCAAATGTAGGAGGGAAAAGAAAGGGGGATGGGGGATGGGATGGGGACAGGGAGGGGAGAGAGAGAGAAAGAGAGAATTTTAACATAGGAATAGTTTAATTTTCAAAAAAGCACTAGGTATAAAATTGGCATGGGAAGACATAACAATGATCAAATATTTTACAGACATTCAGATCCTACAGTAACAAAAAAAAGGAGAAGAGGAACAATAGCTACTAGCAATATTTCCGTATTGGAAGCTTTTATTTTAAGAAACCCTTTGAAACATACCTCTCAACCAGGTAGTTAAGTCCCAAACATGGTACAGCAATATAATGCAGATAAATAAAGAAAATGCAAATGTAGGAAGATTAAATTGATGTGGAGTTAATTTCTGTAATTTTCTATTACTTACTTTGTGATTCACCTATCTGTTGCACATAACTTATGGGAATAAATAAAGAAAACAGCAATAGGAGTGATCTGTCCCACTCACCTGCAAATGCAGGTAACTGTTATCTGACTTAACACTGACATGCAGTTAATTGAATTGTGTCTGCTTGGGATGCAATTATTCCAGTAAGAGGGTGGTCTAGAATGGAAAATTTCTCTCCTAATGAGAAAGAGTTGAGAGGTATGGGCAAGGGTGGAAAAAAGTGGAGAGTATTTCTTGCTTTTCTCCCACATGGGAAATACTCTTTTCACACAAGCAACTATAGCACTATTGCTTTTTTGAGGCGTAGAAGTGTAATTATGCATATCCCCACACTGCACTTAGGAAGGCTGAGCTTACCTTGTGATAAGATCAGCTTTCTAATCTTTTGCTAAATTGAGATCACAAAAGAGAGAGAGAGAGAAGAGAGGAGAAAAGAGAAAGAAAGGGGGAGGGGAGGAGAGAGAGAGAGAGAGAGAACAAATTCACATTCCAATCCAGACAAATCTGGTTAAAAAAATTAATCTGAAACCAATAAAACAGACTTTAAAAAAAGTCTTGACTGTGAAACTATTTTTTGTCAGCTGTAGTATCACTTATACTGTTGTCCTGATAGATACTGACTCAATCACACTAGATGGAAAACATAAAGCAAATTAACCAAAGCATATTCAGAGCATCCCCATTATCATCCACAAATGAGTTCTGAACAGATGCATGCAGTGTGCAAGTACATGAATGATAAACAGTAGTCCTGATGGTCCCTTGCCTTCCTAGTGTCAGATGGTGTGTAGCTCCACATGAAGTTGCTAACTGCAGTACAGGAAATGCTTACTGTGAAGGCCTGTCCACACTGACCAGCGTTATTAAATGACCATAAAAGCACATTTGTGCTTATCACCTTAAGGATAACTGTGAACTATTCATAAGATACTCATGTGTTTTCTAATGATTTCTCCCCCTCTCTCTTCTCCTTGCTCCTGTGGTATAGGAATTTGTTGCAGCATAGAAGCTAGTCAGGCTACCTGTAACTGTGCTGACATGCATTCATGCTTACTATTTGCTTGGTTTGCTGCTGAGAAAAACAGCAGTCAGGCATGTAGTGAAAATAACTTCAGCATTCACTGAACAGAGAGATAAGAACAAATTACCACATTAAAGAGGGGCCACTGAGCCCCAGATAGACAGAGGCCACTCTAAGGAAGACCAGTGTAAGGATGCTATCCCTGCTGATGCTCTGATAAGAAAAGAGGCCTCCCTTATTCAATTCTCACTTACAGCAGTAACAATCAGTAATCTAGTTAAAGTATGTCCCAGCCCATAATATCTGTCAGGCAAACGATGTGCAGAAATGTGCGGACCAGTTCTGGCACTCTGCTCAGTAGTGTCCCTTTTCCGCTGTCAGCACTACTGTTGGATTCTCCTAATATAATTACATTGACTTTTATTCAATTAAGTGCCATTCCCAGCCTTAAAAAGAAGCTACTTTATCAATTGATTCAGGTGTAATATAATAATAAAGATGAACTCATGGCAGTGCATTAGCTCTGCTCTTCATAACTTCTGAACATAGGTTCATTCATAGCAGTCGATTTCCATTATATGACCATAGTTCAAAAGAATTGATTCTTTTACTTTCATTTCTTAATCTATTTCACTTGTGTTTAACAATGTTCCTAAACATCATATGTGAAAACATGCTGGTAGGGATGAGAGGAACAAATTGTAAAAAAAGTTAACTTATTTGGATACTGAAGTTTTGAAATCTTATAACAAAACTGAAGTCCCAGACCCCTTTCTCCATACCAAAGTGAGATACTCCACCCTAATCCAACTCTTTCTCCCCCGCTTTGTCACTTCCAAAGCCTAGAAGTCCCCTACCAGCCCCTAGCCACTGCTAACCACCCTGTCATTTTGTTCATCTGCTCCTCCCCACAGCACCTGCAGTTTTTTTACTTCAGCTGTTCTGTTCCCTGATGTGATTTACAATGCTGCTTACCCCTTCCTCCTCCAGATACTGCTCCCAGGCATGTGTAAACAATGGTCCCTGAGTAAGCTGAGGCACAGCTTGGGCAGAGTAATTTATGCCAGAGCATGAAAATTGCCATCAAATTGGCAGAAAATCCTGAAACAAAATATGCCAAAACCAGCTGAGCTTCAACGTGCCATGGCTTCATTATTCCGCATGCCTGAGCTAGGTAATTTAAGGACATCTCTGGTGTCCTTTGCACTTCACTTGCTGCAGGGAAAAGAACTTAAAGAACATAAATGATTGGCAGAGGTATATATATGTGTGTGACAAAATGAAATATTTGACCTAATCAAATCCTTTGAATGACTCTAGACATCTTAGACTGCTTATTTGTACATCAACTAACAAAACGGCATTTGATCCTTGCAGTGGAAATGTTGCTTAAAGACAACTGAAGTCTTCCAGACAGGAACATGAGATCAAATAAGTTAAGCTAAAGGTACATCTCAGTCGGCTTCAGTTACCATACCTACGCCATCCTATGCAACAAGGGATGGTGAAGAGGGTGACTTCTGAGAACACTAGGTGTGCCAAAGAATGTTCAAACATCTGTTTAGCACTGTACTACATGCCATGTATCCTTAAAAATGAGTATTTTTCCAAGATGTTTTCAAATATAGCTTATTGTGGAAAAGATGTTTTAGCAAATTCTGGTTTATTTTAGGACCCAGAATGCCTGACTTTTTCCACATAATTATCTTTCTTCTTTCAAGTTACTATTCATAAACTAGACATATAGTGGGCAAAAGTGTGTGCAAAGTCCTCACTAGAGTGAATTCGGCCTTAAGAATGGATCAGTGGTGCTGTAAGAATGATGATGATAATGATGATACATGTGAAATCTGTGTTTGTGGTGAAGTGTCAATGGTATCCCACCTTCCAGTTCACCCCTGCTCTTTCAGATGCAAGTTTTGGTAGCAGTGCAATGCAGGATGCTACAGCAGTTACAGCAGCTCTTTGACTGTGGGCATGATCCCAATGGTGGTAAGTATTTTCCTTCCCTTGTGAAGTTTATGGAAGCATTCTACCATAATTAGAATTC